AAGATGGAACTTATAGGCAAAGAAAAAAAAGAAAAAAAAGGTGTATTAGCCTTTTGATATATACAAATATTAGTTTGAGGGTTAGGGTTAGAGTCAGGATTAGGGTAATCTTTCAGTTTTTAACACATAGTAGTTCAGGTCGACTGAGTAAGAGAGACATCTATTGATGGTACATTGTGGCACTCTAAATTCTTTATGCTAAGCTAAGCTGACTGTCTCCTGGCCGATGAACAGACAAATGTGAGAGATCTATCCATCTAACTCTTTGTGAAAGGGTGCTTCCACACCTTACCCCATTGGTGATTTTAGCATGGTTTCAAAGTTAAACCAACATCTTTTAAATCCTTGTATAATACATATAATATAATATAATACAATTATATACATCGTCCATCCCCCAGGGAGGGAGGGGGCAGAAAAGTCTAGGACCTAAGGGTGCTGTAAAGGTAACCAGAGCATCAGTCTTCATACAGCTGCATAGGAACTGTGCCAGGCAAGGGTCAGCCAGATGTGCTCGTACTTTGTCATTTTATTTAATCCATTAAAAAGTGTGTGACAGCAGCGCAGCAGTAATAGCCCCGAATCATTACTCTTAGTCATTATTCATATCATGTGGTTCATTTGCAGCCCAATGATGGTTTCAATCAGTTATTTGTTTGTGAGCTCTATCTGATACCAAAGGACGTACAGTAAATATACAGATCAGAAAAATGAAAGTGCTGCATAAGCTTCTGTCAGTCAATGAATAAGAATTCAGCCATTAGTTTGAGTGATGTATAACTGTCCAATCAAAACCTTTCCACCAAGTCTGGGGAAGTTCTTGTTTTCCTCTATTTGGTTTGTTTGTAAAAATGACCCAGCATGTAAAAATGATTAAGACCGAACTAAAAAACAACAATATATACTGTGAGATTCTGGTGTCTGAACCCAAATTCACACACATTTTCATTGACTCTCTTTAAGTTAATATATCATCTGACGATAAATGAAACAAAAGTGGATGAGTCTTTCGTGCTTTTTTTGCTTTTCTATTCTTACAACACACTCCATTAAGAGAAATGTAATGAACATCCGCATATTCGGGGGGAATGAATATCCTTTGCTGTGAGGTGTATTTACTGCACTTCAGTCTACTTTGCAAGATTTGTGTTTAGTCAAGCTAATTTGGCTAATGTATTATTGTGGCCAAAACCGCCATCCTATTATTGCCAATCAGTCTTCATTTGTCAAAATGAAAGCCCTCCCCTCTGTGGGGTGCTTTAACTCTGTGGTTTATGTACTGGAGAGGAAAATGCTGACTTATCCTCATTAAAGTAGACATGAATTGATCCTAAATAATGCACATACATTTTAGTGAATTCAAGCATTGCTCAAAAAGCATGTTGTGAACTCAATGAAGGGGAAAGGGAAGTTAAGGGGAGAAGTGAGCAGCCAAAAATCACAATAGTTGGATAAATGAACTCAAATTCCAGCAAGAATTCACATTTTAACAGAAGGTTTTGACCTTGTATAGGTAATAACGCCAGATTGTTTTTAGCATTTTACTCACCTGCTTCATAACTGTAATGTAGACATATGACATAGATATATTTTGAGCAAATATAAAGGGCTTTACTTTCAAGCTGCAAGGTGTCAGGTTGTTATGACGGACCAACAAAGAATCCATCACCAGACTGCAGCTCTCCTAAACTCTACGGAGCTTGTTTTAGCTACTTTTTTAACACTGGTGTTAGAAACCTTTTCCAGCAGCAGCAGGCAGCTGTTTTCAGGGGAAAAGCTTAACAGACGGACTAAGAAAACCCCTAGCTGTTTGATTAGCATCTAGTGCTAAGGCGTCGATTCAGCAGTAACTTCATTTCCATAATATGTTAATAAAGGAATCATATTTTACTGATTTTACAGCTTATTATGCCACCCCCAATTGCTCTTATGTCACTCTGCTTTGCAAAAAAAGATTTGGAAATGGCAGACACACATGTACACTGCATCACACATGGTGACATTTTGTGTCTGCTTTTAACCCAACCCGTGGGAACATTAGGAACGGTGGCCAGCTCACTATACAGTGATTGTTGGACAGTGTGCCTTGCTAGAGGGCACCTCTGCAGTACCACTCAAAGTACCAGTCCACTCCCTTTACTTTGTCCAATCTGGGAATTGAACCGGCGACCCTTCAGTTCAATGCCAAATCCCTACAAACTGAGCCACTACATATTTAATGGACTGCATATTCAAGCTGTGGCTACTGGACACAGATCTTGAAGTGTGGTGTCTAAAGTGTTTCTTTTTGCAGGAGATTTACTCAGAGTTAGTGGATCTGATGGCGCTAACATTTGAACTCTTTCCTCTTCATCCATGTTTAATCTGCACCACCCCTTCGTTGAGAGATGAAAAGTGCTGGGGTTTAGCTCCCTTTCTGGGTGCACATTGGACAGAGAACCAGTCACACAGTAACAGCAAATCAACTGGAGAGACTTCTTTTTGGTTAAAGAATATTTATTCATATAGAAATGTAAATAGCCTTTGGCGATTAGATCCCATCATGGTATCCTAATCGAACAGAGGAGGTGCAGCCCCCCACCAAGGGGTTTAGATGCTGGTGGTGATGTTGATGGGATTAAGAGCATGCTGACGATCTGGATTTGAGCAGTTAACCTCGTCTAAAACTCTCCAAGGCTGTCTGTGCTGGCCTTTAACAGGATCTATCCTCTCTTGTTATAGATATGCTCCTTCCCGCTTCAACCCAAACCCCTCACAATCACCATCTCCCTTTCTTAGCGACGCTTTATTTCTCCTCTTCCTCCTCCTCAGTCTGCTTCCACCCACGGACACTTCAGAGCGGCCAGCCTCCGTCCTTCATCCCTCTCTCTGTGTTGAAGGACTTCCAAACACTGATGCTAAAGGTGTCTGATTACATCTCAAGTAATGTTGCGTTTTTGTGCAGCCTAATCTCTCTGCTGCTCAGAGAATGAAACAATTGAGGCCTCGGTCGTATAGGGATCATCACTTACAAATTTCAACTGTCAAATTTCAACTGTGAAATTTGACAGTTCACATGAAATTAAACTTGCATCTTTATTTAACTGTTGCTCAAAAAGGCCCTATTATATGTAGAGGCACAACATACTAATATGAACCTGAAAATCAGCAAAACATGTCGTCTTCAAATTACCTTAGATAGTCTTATTTTCCCTGAAAGGGTAAACTCAACAAATGTTTTACATGTAAGTCATTCGATGAAGGGTTATTTGAAAAAACTGAAAATGACAAAAAAAACTGTTATGGTGTAGAAAAGTTGTACCTCCACTTTGTTCACTCTGATTAATAGCTGACATTTTCTATCCGTGTACAAATAGACCATGTCCCTGGGACCATGGGAGACCATTCGTAATGCAGTGTAAAATATCAACACGGCAACCGTTTTATGGGGGAACTTTTTTCTACTTATAATAATAAATCAAATCATTTTTTGCATATGAAATAAAATTATACTTCTTATGCTAGCTCTGCTCCCTGCTCCTGCATCTGGTGTTTTATCAACATCAGTTACTGCAGTGAATGACCTGCTAACAGCCATCAGGGCACACACTGCAGGAAGTGGAGCGCGCACTTTTCTTACATGACATATACTTACGTTGCATGAGTTTTAGTCACTTTAGTTTCATTGAAATTTTAGTCATTTAAAATACTTTCTTTTAATTCTCTGATTTGCTCTTACTCTATGTGTTGATAATTTTCACATCCTTCTGATTAGGGCTGAACGATTAATCGATTTTAAATCGAACTCGCGATTTTAAATGATGCAATTATCAAATCACAAAGCGATTCTTGTGTGTCAGTCATCCACACCAATCAGAAGTGCTGTGCTCCACATGTACCAGTCATTGTTAACCAATCAGAAGTGGCCCATGATAGAAGATGATAGACAGATTGATCCAATCACCTGCCAAGTATTTTTGAAATACTTTTCCAAATGGCTTCCAATGGAGCTTTCCTAGATGGTCTGGTGAAACAAACCACCTGACTCAGGTTAGTAATGCTCCATCACATGTTTTACATCTATTACAGGGTGAGTCTGAAACTGAAGCTTGACTTTAAAGCAACCCAACGGAAGTTTCATGTAAGTTTAGTTCTTTCACTCGTAGCTCGGGCTGCGGGGGTGCTAGAGACGGGAGCATGTTGATACGACCTTCCTAGCCGGAGATATGGCCGCATTTTACAATAAACTTCCGTTGGGTCACTTAAAAACAAATATCGCTAATCGAATCGCAATATCTGTCAGAAAAATCGCATTTAGATTATTTCCCCAAATCGTGCAGCCCTACTTCTGATCTGACATGTGGTTTTTCTCTACTGTATTTGTATACAGTACAGCAAATAAAAATAATTGGAGACAATATCTCATAATTAGAACGTCTACCAATTATGAAAAAAGCTCTCCTAATTACAAGAACCCTATCTCATAATCTTATAAATATGAAATTAGGATCTCGGTATTACGGGGACCTTATCTCATAATTATGCCATAAAATATAAGTATAAATATATAGTTAGATCTTGTAATCAGTAAATAATATATATTTGTATTTGTCTTTAGTAATTTTCACTATTGTTTATGAGGTAACACAATATAACAATACAATATATCCCTATATTAATATATTATAGGGATATCATTATTGCAATGGACCTTGTTACTACAATAACTATGAGTTAATTGTTTTGTAATTTTGAAATACAGATGTAACAATTATTATGAGCTGGTAAAATAAAGAAGTCATTTTTGTTTTACATGACTCATTGATGTCATGTAGCACACCCTAATGGCTGCGTTAAGTGACTGCTCTGATGAGTGTTTCCCAGAGGGATGGACTCAGCTCTCCTGTAGGATCTGAGTGCTGCTGTGTTTCCTGGTCTGCTCCACATAAACACACCCAGGCTCTGATGCTGCTGTGTGAACTCTCAGTAACATCATGTCATATCTCTCTGCCCCCCTGCAGGTTCACGTGGGCACCTCCCATCAGGAGCAAAGGGTTGTGGGATATCTCACGAGTACGCACCTCCACGCCATAGAAGGTACAGTCGCCTGTTCTACTCAACCTCTCTGTCTGTCTCACTAACACACAGCTGAATGCACTCATAAGATGATGTGGAGTATATCTCATTTTAGAATCAGAATCAGGTTTATTGCCAGGTAAGTTTACACATACAAGGCGTTTGATTTGATGTATGATGATGCAAACATAAACAACATAAGAAAATAGGTTGTAAGAGAAGGTCAGAAATATAACGGTTATAAAAAGAAAATAAGTTATAAAAACGATTTAGCATTAAAAAAGAATAAAGTTAAGTATTTACACCAAATTTCAATGTACACAAGATACTTAAAAACGTAGTACAATGAGTATATGGCAATATATGACAAACTGCAGTGTTATATTTTAAAGTATTTTGTGTCTCTCTAGAGAACACTAGGGTTGAGAGGGTTACTTTAAAAAGGTAACCTGTTACAATTACTGTAAAAATGTTTTATCAGTAACGTAATTTGAGTATCAAAACATAAAAATAATCTACCTTGATTACTTTACGTTACTTTTGGATTACAATAATGTCAATGCAATGTAAATAAATACAAGAGAAAATAAATATCAATAAGATGTTTTTACTAAAGTGTGTTATGTAACACAACAGAACAATGTGAAAAAACAAGATATTTAGAGTAAAAAATGTATCCTCTTAAACTACAGAGTGCAGACACTTTTCTGCTTGCTCTTGCCTCTGCTTACTTTTTTATGCTGATTTTCCTATTTTTCTTTTCTGAAAACTTCGAGCAGCGGCTCCTGGACATTAACTTATCACTGGGACAGTTATTCTTCGTAAATAGACGGAGGGTTTCAGCCATATTTCAATATTTTTACAATGACCTCAGTCTTACAGTAGCGTAGCCTAGCAACAGCTAAAGCCTGGTACTGCATGCTATTTAGCTTAAAGGTGGGGTAGGTAAGTTTGAGAAACCGGCTCGAGATACACTTTTTGTTATATTCCATGGAATGCTCTTAACATCCCGATAGCAATGAATATCTTAAGTGCTTTGACAAAAAATCCATAAAAAAATGTCCTCTGTGGAAGCCGTAATACTGTAAAAAGCACGACCAATCATTTTAGCCGGCCCGGCTAAAATAACTGGATGGCCTACCTGCCTGTCAGCCTTCCATCTGTGCACAAACTTATCTCGTGCCCTCATTGGTCATGTGCGCATTCGTGTGTGTTGGAGGAGGGGCTCTGTAAGGAAGTAGCGGATTTCTTCCGGCTGTGTATTTTCAAATTCTAGCGCACTCAAGCTGGTTTCTCCAAAATTACCTACCCCACCTTTAAGCTAGTTGGCAGCAAAATGCCTCCGTTCTCTACAGATGACTTCCACAAACTTCTACAGAAGATGGCCGTGTTGGAAATGAAAATGCAACGGTTGGAAGTTAACGTGGAAGTGAATGGACTATGTGGGAATGGCACCACTTTACCAGTGTTGCAAAAGAATGGACAAAGGCATGCTAACTCACAGCTAGTTAGCAGCTACAAGGATTCCAAGGAACAGGATGGCTGTTTACCGGGTAATACATCTACAAGTGGTAGTCCTCCCTGGAACTCTCTGGGTGCAAAGCCTCAGAGTAAATCATTTCCATGGGATTTGGGAGGACGAATAACAGGCAGAGCCCAGCGCTCTGAAATCTGTGATGCGACCGGCTGGCCTGCATTCTTATCACTCAGGAAGAGTGCCTCTTCAACCCCTGTTCATACTAGGAAACAGCCGTGGACAGCTGCTAAAGGGAGAACTACAAACAATCCTCCTAAACCACCAAGTGTGCCAATCCAGAACAGATACGCTCCACTGACACAGAACTGGAGATCTCTTTCTGATGACCTGGATAACCTGTCCTCTTCACACAGCAGGGTAAGGACCAGAGATGGGGTCGTTACTAAATAAAAGTAATATATTACATATTACATATTACTTTAAAAAAAAAAGTAATATATTACACTACTTCATTACTCTCTACATAAAGTAACTCGTTACTTTACTCGTTACTTTACTCGTTACTTTACTCGTTACTTTACTCGTTACTTTACTCGTTACTTTACTCGCAGGGCCGGCCCGCCCCTCCCTACAGGCAGATCACGCAGACTGCGGCGCACCTACAGTGTAAGCGCACCACAGTTTTACCTCTGCGAGACTCCACTTGCACCCCCAATTACTATTGCAATAAGGAAGACATAACACAAGTCTTTCTTTTTATATGCTCTTTAATAAAATAGGCTACCAGCCTACCACAACAAGCTTGCAAGACAGCTTAGCATGTGTTCTTTGCAGGTGTTTGTTGAGGTTTGACGTGGTGTTCACAGCAGTGGATAACAGCTTCTGGCCTGGACACAGTTTGCACCTCACCGTCACATTCCTGTCTATTCTTCGGACGAACTCAAAATAATGGGCATACCTCCACCCCTCGAAAGTTATCGCTGACTCAGCCATGTTTATGCAGCTCTGCATGTGGAGATGTGGACGCGCAAGTCGCGCAGATTACGTACATATAAACCTGCGGCGGAAACCCCTCTTGTCTGTCAGTGAGCTCAGTGTGATTATGACTGATTTTATAAAAGTAACGAAGTAACGCGTGTCGGGGCAATGTTAGTAACTGTAGTGTGATTACTGAATTATAAAAGTAACGCGTTACACTACTCCGTTACCGACAAAAGTAATATTATTACAGTAAGTAAGTTAGGTGTGTGTTAGGTGTGTGTTGGGTGTAACGCGTTACTTTGTAACGCGTTACACCCAACTCTGGTAAGGACCAATAGCTACTCCAACACTCCGGGCCAACAACCGGGCTGAATATGCTAAACTAGTGACGTAAACACTCTCGACTGCTGATTGGTCAGAGAGAATTGCTGGCAAGGGGGCTACAACTACAACAAAGTGAACATATTTTACCGTGATTTAATTGTAATACACGTTTCAAAATGATGCCGAAGTAACAACATACTGATACCGGTTAGTAAAAACCATGAATTAATGCTTTGACAAGTCTGCAGACAGACGGCAGGCGAAAAACCTTTTGAAATGCGTGTGTGGAGATAGGATCGATCAGGCTAAGCTAACGCAGTATATGCTCCGACCGTCCACACTCACAACAACGGCCTATACAGACATAAATAAACCAGCGACTGTATTCACCATGACACAGACAGTCTGTGGTTTGTACTTGTTTAACTTTTGTTTAGTTTCTGAACAGATATGAGGAGCTGTGAGCTCTGAGTGCTAACAGCTAACGGCTGATGTTTTGGTTTTGTGGCTCGCATTGAAGATGACGTCACGGCAGTTTTATGCAGCGTCGCTCCGCCCGCCGAACAGCCGATCGTCCCGCCTACACTGCGTTACTATAGTTACTACCCCAGTAACTAAACTGTAATGGAAACGCAGCATAAAGTGAGCCTGGCCTACCAAGGCCTAACCATACTACCGTACTAAGCCGTGCTAGGTCCTGCAGTGGAAAAGTGCCATAAATGCGGAGGTGTTCATCAGTGGCCCTCTACCGTCAGTCAGAAGAGGAGTGGAGAGACTCAGCAGATTGTTTGCACTGAACACGTGGCTTTCAACTGCCTGTACTGACCATTCTGTCCATTTTATTGAAACAAATGTCTGGGACCGCAGACATCTTTTTAAGGCAGATGGAGTTTGCCTGAACAAGTCAGGAGTGAAATTGTTTATCTCTAACATATTCAACTGCCTGCGTCATCAATCTGTTCCCTCTGCCAAGGACAAGCGACAAGAGGAATCAAAACAGGAGAAAGACACAACACATCGCGCAGAAAACCATGAAGAAGTATCACTGCACCCGCCTGAGGAATGTCTTGATTATGGGACACCTGTGAGACAAATGGAGGAGTCTCCACCGCCCTTCACCCCCCCTATCAACACCTTTGAGGATACTCTTCCTTCATCTCCCAGCGCTATACACAGGGTTGCCACCAATTCCTTCCTGGAGTTCACTGACCACATGAAGGCGATACACAGGGTTGGCAGCATGTCCTTGACCCCCGTCCCTCAACGACACCCACCAGAATCACCGAAGCAGAGACGCGCACCATCTCCCCCGTCATCACCATGCGTACCACAATCATCCGAACCAAAACGTCCGTCCCCCCCTTCAAGACAGCATCTGCTGTTTCCGAAGCCTGATAAGGATGTGGACCCTAAGAAGTGTTAAAAATAGGAGTCGGGGACCCTATCGAAGTGTTAAAAATAGGAGTCGTGGACCCTATCGAAGTGTTAAAAATAGGAGTCGGGGACCCTATCGAAGTGTTAAAAATAGGAGTCGGGGACCCTATCGAAGTGTTAAAAATAGGAGTCGGGGACCCTATCGAAGTGTTAAAAATAGGAGTCGGGGACCCTATCGAAGTGTTCTTACTAATTGATATATTACAATTGTGCACATGGTTTAGGTGTCCGGGACCCTAAGAAGTGTTAAAAATACGTAGGAGTCGGGGACCCTATCGAAGTGTTAAAAATAGGAGTCGGGGACCCGATCGGAAAGGAGAAAAACGAAGAATAGAGCAAGAAATTAGTGTAAAGAGCAAAGGATCATATTTTACACTGCACTGTAACTTTTATTCATGTATTTTCTTTTAATGTTTATTTTATTATCTTTGCTTTTTAATGACTGTTTTTAAATGCCATTTTCTGAATGTCTTTCATTTTTGTAAAGCACTTTGAATTGCCTTGTGTTGAAAGGTGCTATATAAATAAACTTGCCTTGCCTTGCCTTACAGAATCGTCATTTATAAATGTTTTAGTTGAATACATTTTAAAGCAAACACAGTGTTTTGTATGATAAATCAGGTGATCACCAACTGCATAAATAAAAAATAAAGGAAATTCAGGCAGTACGTGTCTTTATTTTAAATCCTGATAACGTGATCTTGTTACATGTAATCTGTTACTCCCGAATCCTGGAGAACACATAGTAAAACACTCCAGTGTGTGTGTGTGTGTGTGTGTGTGTGTGTGTGTGTGTGTGTGTGTG